CATAGAGTGTCCTGCCCTTGACATTCTGGGGACTGTGCCTACTGATGTGCCTGCTATTCTCTCTGGCCCTAGTATCTCTGCCTCACAGTCTCTCGCAGGCAATCCCTTTGATATGCCGAATCAAGCAGGCGTCGCGCTGTGTCATGCAGCTGAAACGAGGACTCCTCATGTGTGTGTAACTGGACTTCCCATTGCCGAGCTGCCCCCCATTGCCGAGCTTGCCCCGATTGCCGAGCTGCCCCGCATCGCTGAGCTGCCCACCATCGCTGAGCATTCAGCTACACAGCCCTGCGAGGTGGAAGATCCTATGAGACACACAACACCCACGACACCCATGACACCCACGACGCCCACGACACCCACGACACCCATGGCCACGCCGAAAACCAGCAGCACCAATTCTGACAAGCCAACCAGCATCTGCCAAACGGATTACAGCAAGACCTGCGGTACCAGTCACAAACCCTGCAGCACTGGTGACAAGCCCTTCAGCTGCGAGTATAAGCCCTGCAGCACCACCCACAACACCAGCAGCACAAGTGGCTCGAAGGTTGATCTGAAACGGCGCAGGCAGCATTTCCTTTCTCCCATTTCTCACCCACATGGCAACGCAATCAAACGCCAACACCTAATGGGTGAGAGTGAATTGCTCAATGCATCAGTGACTCGATACATTGCTGCCCAAGCGCCACTCCTTGCCAATAAACTATCCTGTGCGCCTGTCATGGGTGATGGGGGTGTGTACATGCGAGGTGCATCAGCCATGGCCGCAGTAAGCGATGCAGGTTCGATACGAGGAGCTTCAGTGAAGCAACAGCTCCTCCGATGTCCCCTACCATTAAAGCTCTCAAAGCTCCAAGTGCCAGTTCAAACCACGCAAGCGCCCCTGCGGGCTGTTGAGCGTGCAGCCTCGGAGCACCGGACGCCCCTGAGCCAACAGATTAAAGACCGTGTACCCATAGGCCCAGTGCATAGGGTAGGTGCAGTCCCAATTGAAGTGTTCCGAATGCCAGCACAGCAGGGGGCGGTTGGGTCATCAACTCAGCAGGGAAGGGTGGCGCCCTTGATCCCAGCACAAGTGTTTGCGTTTCTGGGAGGGACCAGCACTTCCCGTGTTTCAGACTTTGTAACGGCTGGCATGCGGCAAGAACTGCAATCCTGGCTCGATGGCGCAGCAGCTTAGAAAGGCCAGATTTTTTTATTCGAAGGGTGTGTGGTAGAATCAGCGTGGGTGCTGCGTGCTTGGTGGGGTGTGTATTTTCCAGGTAGGCCAAAGCTGTGCTGGATTTGGCGTTCCTGAAAAGCCAAACAATATCCTATAACTATACTGCGATGCTTACAAACAAGCCTATACACATGAAGAATCTGTGCAAAGCATACGCACGCCACCTCCTCTGGCCTCATCCCCCTCCTGCGCTACTAGACCGGTGCTTCTCCTTTGTGGCAGACTGTCGTCAGGCTTATTATTCCTGAGTGTCACATTTACCCTCCCAGAAGTGCCCGTTGTATGGACCCTCTCCGCCACACCACTCATGTGAATGACGTCCTCGCCCAGGGCCACCACTCCAGGAAATTGTTATCACCAGGTGACTGGAATTGCAGGTGTTGGGGATAGACTCGAGGCGCTCCGAAGTAGATATCGTTGCAGGCTCAATGTACCATGGATCTGTTACCAGCCTTTAAGAAGGTATGGGGTGGTGAGGAAGGGGAGGGAGTGGGGTAGAGGAGAAGATGGAGGGAAAGGGAGAGCTACCAGGATGAATGGTGGAAGTCTGTAAAGAATGGGAGAATTGTAAAACATTGGACTTTTGAGGAGCTATAAAAAACAAGCTTGCTTAGCTATGAGGGAGGATGAAACGCTATGAACATAACAGCTCCTTGAGCAGCATGCCATCTGCATGAAAATGGGTGAACTAACTGAACACTGTCAAATTATATATAACTGTTAGATGTAGGCTGTAGTGGGGTAGCCCATATGGGGTACAACCCTTTTAGGGTTAGTACTTGTTTTACACTTGTTTCATAGTTCACCATTCATTCTCGTTGATTCTGACATGGTTTCAGAGCGGTTAGTTTCTTAGGACCGCGTTTAGGACCATTCTTTTTTCATGGACCCACCGTTAGATCTGCCCCACGATCTGCCCTCCGCCACTTGCTGCCCTGCCCTGCGCACTGTAGCGCTGCGCTGCCCCGAGCGCGCCCCTCGAGCTGCCCTGCCCTGCACACTAGCGCTGCCCCATGCGCCCCCGCTGCTCCGCGCGCTCGCGCTGCCCCGCACGTGCCCCACTTCCCCGTGCACTCACGCTGCCCTGCGCGTGCCCCGCTGCCCCTCGCGCTCGCGCTGCCCCGCGCGTGAGCCGCTGCCCTGTGCGTGCTCTGCTGCCCCGCGCGTGCGCCACTGCCCCGCACGTGCGCTGCTGCCCCGCACGTGCTCTGCTGCCCCGCGCGTGCGCCACTGCCCCGCACGTGCGCTGCTGCCCCGCACGTGCGCCCCTTCCCAGCGCGTTCGCCGCTGCCCCGCGCGACCCGCTGCTGCGCTGCGCTGCACGCCGCTGCGCCGCGCACTGCTTCCGCGCCGCCGCGACCGCCGCTACAGCTGCTGCTGCTGCCGCTACAGCCACTGCAGCAGCCACTACAACTACCGCAGCCACAGCCGCTATAGCTACTGCCGTTGCAGCCACTACACCTGCCGCTGCCCCCACAGCTACAGCCGCCGCTACCGCAGCCGTTCCAGCCGCCGCTACAGCTGCTAAAGCCGCCGCTACAGCCGCTACTGCCCCAACTACCGCTGCAGCTGCCGCCGCCGCTACAGCCACCACTGCCGCTACTGCCGCTGCAGCTCCCGCCGCCGCTACAGCCGCCCCTACTGCCGCTGCAGCTGCCGCCGCAGCTACAGCTGCCACAGCCGCTACTGCCGCTGCAGCTGCCACCGCCGCTACAGCCGCCACTGCTGCTACAGCCGCTGCTGCCGCTACAGCCGCCCCTACTGCCGCTGCAGCTGCCGCCGCCGCTACAGCCCACACTGCCGCTACTGCCGCTGCAACTGCCGCCGCCACTACAGCCGCCACTGCCGCTGCTGCCGCCCCTACTCCCGCTGGACCTGCCGCCGCCGCTACAGCCCCCACTGCCGCTACTGCCACTGCAGCTGCCCCCGCCGCTACAGCTGCCACTGCCGCTAATGCCGTTGCTGCCGCTGCTATTGCCGCAGCCGCTACCGCTACTGCCGCCGCCGCTGCCACTGCAACCGCCGCTGCTAGTGCCACTGCTACTACTCGTATGCTGCGCCGTTGCGGCTGCCGCCCGTGCACTACTGCCGCTTAGGGATACTGCTTACCATGGCGACCGCTACTGTACTGACTTTTAACGCTGAGGGCCGCCCGATAGAGTACGATTCCTGGCTAGAGGACCTTCACCTGTACCTGCAGAGCGTTACCAGATATGATGCCTCGCTGTTTGAGCACACGTCCGGATCCCTTAAGGTCCCGCCCAATCCTAGTGACCCTGGCCCGTCTGCTAGCGATACTGAGCGACAGCAGTATAAGACTGATCGCATTGCCTCTACCCAGTGGCTTTCACGCGACGCCACTGCCCAGCTTGCTGTCCGCAGCCACCTCCCGCTAGACTAGCGGCCCCACTTCCGTCTGCTGAAAACGGCCAAAGCGCTTTATGACGCTGTAGTCAAGCGCTACTCCTCCCCCTCTTCTGCTGCCTTAGGCCGTCTGGCACTGCCGTTCCTCTTCCCTGAGCTGTCAGACTTTACCACAGTAGCCGACCTCATTACCCACCTACGCTCCCTTGACACGCGCTACCGTGCTGCTCTCTCACCAGAGTTTCTGCCTACGAACCAGCCCCCTATGTATCTCACTCTCTACTTCCTCACGACTCGCCTCCCTGACTCTCTGCGCACCGTTCGGTAGGCTGGGGCACACTGAGACCCGCTGCCTCTACCACCTCGACGACGCCTTTCGAGCGGAGTTTGGTGAGCAGCCCAAGACTCCCGACTGGTTAGGATTGCTCAAGAAGGGTGTAGATGTGTTTGCTCTTGATTGGGACCAGATCTTTGCTGGCATGTATGCTATGTATGCTGCTGGTGCTAGCGCTGAGGGTGACTATTATTCTTGTGTACCTAGGTATGGTAGTGTAGAGGCTGAGAGTGTAGGCGCTTGTGAGTCTGCTAGCACAGGTGCAGTTCCTGAGGAAGCTTTGCACACCTTCACGCTGGACTCAGGCGCGTATAGCTGCTTCTTCCGCGACTGCACCACAGTCACACCGCTCACAACAATTGTCCCTGTCACCCTAGCCGACCCCTCCTTTGGCCCAGCTGTTGCAAGCGGCTCCACTTTTCTCCCTTGTCCGGCAGCCCCCTCTGGCTCCCTCACAGGTCTCCGCCTCCCCTCGTTCGCTACGAACTTGGTGAGTACCTCTGTCCTCCAGGATATGCTGGTCACTACCACTACTCCTAGGGGCGAGCACGTGGTGATCTGTACCGTCACAGTGACTGGCGACCACCTCGCCACGTTCACTCGGAGGCCTGAGTATGGCCTGTACACGCTGCACACTGAGTCTGCACAGGTAGCCGCGTCCGGTTAGGTTGCTGCGTCGTGCTCGTGTCGGTTACTCACGCACCCGGCTCTCCTCTGGCACCACCGTCTTGGTCACCCCTCCCTGCAGCGTCTGCGTCGCATGCACTCCCATCTCCTTGTCTCTGGCCTCCCGAGGTCTCTACCCCCGCTCTCACCATCGCTTGCACCGCCGTGCACTCCCTGCGTCGAGGGGCGGCAGCGCGTCGCTCCTCACTCCTCCTCGTTTCCTCCAACCACTGCTCCTCTGCAGACGCTGCACATTGATGTGTGGGGCCCCGCACCCGTCTCTGGGCTGCACCGGGAGCGCTACTTTCTGCTGGTCGTTGACGAGTTGACACGCTACACCACCGTGTTTCCCTTGCAGCGCAAGGGAGACGTCCGTGCTGTTTTGATCACTTGGATCCGCGCTGTTCGTCG